AATCAACAAATAGCATGGGTTAAAATTTTGTGTTCCCTCCTGTTAATTTTTGTGTTCCCAGAACGGTCTCTCCTGTTATTCATGAATACAAACCCTAATAAAGACATGTTAGTACAACAAGAGAACCAATCAAATCACTCAAATCACTATGACAAAATCAGATAGCTAATTATTTACATTTTTAATGTTTTAATATTACTAATGCTAAACACATTAAACACAAATTACTTACATCAAGTTTATTATTATTAACACTAAAATTAACAATAATCAATTCGCAAATTGTTTTGGTGGTGACAAAGTATCTATTATTTTCAAGAATGGGTTGTGAATTGTAACAAAGTATCTTTACGTTTTTGATTGATCTCTTCTAATTGTTTTTTGATGATGATGAAATACTTACAGTGATGAAATATTTTACATTTTTGACAATAAAGAAATTTATTCACAATTGTTTTTTTTTTTTTGATGACGTTTTCAAATAAGACTATAAAAGAATTATGAATTATCTAATACTTACACTAAAAACTTTTGCTAAATTGTTGATTTTAAAATAAATTAATAATTTCTAAAAAAATTTTATAATCATTTTTCAAGTCATGTGATTTATATGAACTCCCGTTATAAAAATATCTCGTTATACGGACATTTTTTGCCTGTATATACAATGACTAGAATTAAAATATCATCAATATATAAACAAAAATCCCATTATTTATTATTTATTACCATTTCGTCTTCATTCTCATGCTCATACTATTGTTACTGCTTTTAAGCTATTACTTCTATTTGAAAAAGTGATCCGCCTATGAAACAGTGAAATGATCAACATTTCTATACGGGACCACAAGTACAAGAATGAAACATACAGTGTGTTAAGAAAAAAACAGCAGTGACAAAAAATTGCATATCTCAACAATTACATAACATAATTAAATAGTTGAAAGTACCGTATTCTCTGGAATATAAGCACCACTCAAATATAAGCACCAGTATGAATTTGCAATGAAAAAAAACAAAAAAATAGAAAAATAAATATAAGCACCACATATATTTCAAATTATTTTTTATTTGATTTTATTTTTATATAATAAATAAAAAATAAGAAATTTTTTTATTTTGACTATTCTTTCCCAGAGTCACCAGACTCCTCCTCTTCTAATTCATCTAATTCATTAGCTGAATCATCATTTCTATTTAATATTTCACGTTCATCTTCCTCATTTTCATTTTCATCCCCATATAAATGTAACACAAATTATCTGAAATAAAATGTCTTGAATATAAACACCACTCACAGTTTTGTTGACCAAAACGTGTCAAAATGGTGGTGCTTATATTCCAGAGAATACGGTAAATATATACAACAAAAATATTTAGAAGTTGATCCTCAAATAATTAAAAATATATTGAGAAAATTTCTTATAGAAGCACCCAAGAAGCAAAACAATGTTGCATTGATGAATTTATGAGTTGACAATGATATTATTATTATTATTATGTTATATTTTGTTTTTTATGTATATACAAAATAAAAAAATTTTTTTGTACACATTTAATTTGTATCACATGATTTGATCATAAGTTTCGATTTAGTGGATCTCTCGATTTAACGGATAAATTTTCTGGAAAAAAATATCCGTTAAATCGAGACTCACTGTGTAGTATTTTTCTGCCGTTCATAAAAGGATCGGCAATTAATGATTATAGATGATCTGCACCGTAGTTATTTTATCTTGATTTAACGGATTTAGCGGATTTCAATATTAATATATTAACATTAATATATTCGGTATACCGGAACTGGAAACTCCCCACACTAGAAGTGATTTCAAAAAAATCTCCGATTTAACGGAATCTACAGATTAAAAGATAAAAGCCACAATTAACGGGGTAAATTTACATATTTGGTTTTGTACTTTAAAAAAAAAAAGATTATTTTAACGAGGGGTTCGGATTAACTGGGTTGACTATGTACTAACATGTTTGCGATTTATTGACAAACTGTTAATAAGAAAAAAAGTAAATAATAAATCAAACGAATTTATTCCTTTTACAAAAAAAATCTTAATAAAAAGAGAAAAAGTAAAAAATAATTATTAATCAATATTTATCAGTTCTTTTTAGTGCCACTCTCTAATTTCTTTATTTCATGAATTATTTCTTCTTCTTCCTCCTCACCTACAAGTTCAGTATCTTCATCACCATAAACATTCACATCGTACCTTTTACCTCTTATGCCAAATATTCCCCAATTTGTATAAATACCTTCTCTAACATCCAAAGGATTAATTTCTCTTCTTAGACTTTTGTAAATGTTTTCACCTGGTTCTAACAACAAATCGAATTCAAATGCATCATTATTTTCTATCGCTTTAAAATCCTTTAACAAATCGCTCTCATCAAATCCCGTTATAAATATTCCACATTTAGTTGTCAATAATTTTCTCAATGAAGTTTCCCAAGTATCCATACCATCTTGTTGTCCAATTCCCGGGCTAAATAAAAAGAATACATCATAATATGGATCAAAAGGCTTGGCTGTATCATGAAAATCTTCATATGATGAATTGTTCCATGTAAAACCTAATTTATAATTATAACTTTTGCTATATGAATCTGGTTGATCTTTTTTTGGTAATATTGATTCAGGACCAATGAAATATATATGGATAATCGAATCTGGAAATAAATAGGATAATTGTGTGTACACATTTAACGGTAATTGTGCTTCTCCACGTGCTCCTATTATAAAGACCCTTATAGCGTTTACCATTTTAATTGATTTAATGCTGTTATTCACTTGTGTAGAATATAATGTTGATCGTAATGCTACGTAAATAATAATGATGATCGTTATTGTTTAATTTTTGAATGGTAGAAAAATCAGAATGTTCTTATTGAAAATTACCAGTTAAAGATTTTAGTCCTTCTAATGTTAAACGATTTTTAAGAATATATGGACTATATTTATGCAAGATTGATCCAATAGTTATTGGAAATGTCAAAACTTTAGAGATATGTCTTAAAGAACGTTCAGAATCAATGCTAGGAAACCCTCTTGTATAAAAAAATGTATTCCAATTTAACATATTTACCGCTTCATCAACCGGTTGAGTTTCTTTTTTAAAAAAAAGAATAGAAATTAGGTTACTATATTTGATTAAAACCATTCTCATTATTATTATCATAAAATACCTGGAAAATCTAATTCAATCAACTTTCTTCCACTTTTCAAATCATGATCATCCTCATTAACTTCTCTTAACATATCACAGACATGTTTCTTATGATTTTCTAGATCTTTTAAATAATGTTCTCTCGAGCAATGAGTAGGGAATCCGCAATCTTCACATTCATAAACAGGTTGTTTTCTAAGCTCTTTTGATAAAGTTTCTTCGCATACGGGACATTTACCGTGTTGACGAATCAGTTTTGATTTCTGTTGAATTTCTTTTATTGGAGATTTTGACAATGGATGAAATAATTTATCGGGTGCAAGTAATGGTTTTTCTTGTTGTTTTTCCTTTTTTGAAGAAGGGTTGAAAATGTTTTGAAAATATCTTTTTTTATTTGATAACGATGATATTATTATGGGTGGCTTATTTAATTGAATTATTGGAAACTTGTGATAATGATGATTATTATTTATTAACTTTGAGAAATTGTTTAATAATAATTTATTAAGTCGTATCATTTTTCGTTATTTAAAGAAAAAGTTTTTCTGATAATCTATTTTCCACTATTTAAATTAAATTAACAAAGTTACACGAATCAAAATTTTATATTGTTATTTATTATTAACAATTTGAAGAAAAAATAATAATATTTGGTAAAATATTAGTCCTAATTTAATATCTACGATGCATACTTTATTATTTTTGAAATATAACAATAACAGTTAGTATGATTTCAAAAATCAATGAAAATAAGGAATGAAAGGTTGGGGGAATGAATACCTTTTTCACAAAATCTTTAGCAGTTTTATCAAATTTTGACTTGTTTGTATTATAAATTTCAGCAATAGAGGCCACTAAAGCATCGTCAGGATTAGGATGTTCAAGAAGACTGGCAATAGATTTAAGAACTACATAATATAATAGATATGTGTATATGTGATTAGCGAATAACAGTAGTGAAAATAAATATTTTTATATTTTTTACCTTGTGTAATCTTTGTTGATGGCTTCCAGACATCAGTTTTTAATAAATCAACACAAATTGATCCATCTTCATCAATATTGGGATGATATATTCTAGTAATAAATTTAACCTATATAAATATAAAATAAAAACAAACATACATGAATAAATAAATAAGACTATCATTATTGTTGTTGTTATTATTATTGTTATTATTAATATCACATCATTTACTAATTCGAATATATAAAAAACCTACTGATGGTGGTTTAAATGGATAGTCGTGTGAAAAATCAATCTTAAGTTTGAAAATTCCGCCTTTGTAAGGACTAGAAGCCTATAAATAAACAATATAATATATATAAAACATACAAATATCTTGTACACACACACACATATATAGTTTACATACAGGTCCTAAAATTGTGGCTATTCAAAAGCAATTAAATAAATGCAAGTAATGAGTATGAAGTCACCAAAAGAAAAATAAATGACGACAGAGTAAATCACTACCGGCCCAACTGAATAAGTCATCGTCCTCAACAGGTCCTGCACTAATTCCAACAGGTGGTTCTCTACTGATTTCTGAAAGTTCCTGTTGATAACATAAAATAAGTTTGAAATATAAAGTTTACATATTTAACTATTTAACGATATTTTTATTACCTTTTGAATACGTTTAAGTGCCATTTTATTTGAGTGTAGTGAAAAAAGCAATTAGTTAAATGATGTAA